AACACCGAATCCAAAAACTTATCGAATTATTGTCCCAGAATTTGAGAACAGCAATAATTCACCGACAAGTTCATTTCACTGAAATTTATTTCACCGACAGTCATTTCACAGACAAAGTAATCCTAGTCATTATCGCTAGGGCCAGGTTAGAATTAGAGTTAAAGCTAGTGTAATTTATAAAAAAAAAATAATACTTGTCGATGAAATGAGTTAACCGCCCTAGCATATCGCCAAAAAAAAAATGTTACGAAACTGAGTTTAAATTTTTCCGAATAAAAGTTCCGTTTTCAAATTACAAGCCATATTCTCCCTTAATAGTAGAAAGATTATATTGAAATTTATATTCACTACAATTTGAATTAGTTGATTATTTATGCATTAATTGTTTCGTTACAATAAATTTGAAGAAAAATTTTTGCATTTTAATGATTGAATTAGCTACTTTGACAATTATTTGTACTATTTATTGCATTCTTCGTAAATGTACAAAAAAACTATAGTAATTTTATCCAATAAGATGTATTTTTATTTCTTCCCGCCCAGGTTTTTGTGATGTTTTTGCATTTTTAAACCTTTTAGTCATAAACCATTCGTTCGTTTAAAATTTAGTCCGATATTTTCAGCCATTTTTTTTGCTAAGGAACTCAGACAACTTAGAAATAAAATTGTTTGACTATATAAAATTTTATTAATATTTAATATTTATATTAAAATTATTGAATTATAAAATTTAGTATATCTATTAATATTTTTGATAATCGTTCAACAATTTCAACTGTTTTTCATCATTGCTAGAATTTGTTTCATCGTCTGTTTCGTCAGCATTTATTTCATTAAGTTGGATTTATAACCATAAGTTTGTGAAATTGTTGCTTATTACTTCTTTACAGAAACTAGCTAATTTTTTTTAAGATTATAATAAAATTACCAAAATTATATTTTATAATAATCTTATAATACTCATAATCTTATAATAATCTTATAATAATCTTATAATAATCTTATCTTATAATTATCTTAAAATAATCTTAAAATAATCTTATAAAATTATCTTATAATAATCTTATAATAATCTTAAAAAAATTTCAAAAAAATCTTTAAATAAATCTTAAGAAAATCTTATAATAGTCTTAAAAATAATCTTATAATAATCTTATAATAATTTTATAATTATTAAACTATAATTTTATTATGAATTTTATATATTAAATCTTAAAATTAAATTAAAATTATCTTTTTATTATGAAAATCTCATATTAATAGCTTTAATATTATCATAAAATCATCAAAAAAAAAGTGCTAGTTTCTGTAAAATACCTACCACGCATTTTCCTTTTTTTTTTTAATAAAAAAAAAAATTAACAGCGCGGAAACCTAAAAATTGGTCAAATTGGCCTTTATACTGTAGATAGTTCTAATAAAAAAGGTTACTTTCAATAAAAAAGCATTCGATTATATAACTTCGGAGCGCTTATAACGGAATAAATTATGTGCTACGGCTGCTGCGGCAGTGACACCGAACATCGATCGATCCGACGTCGATCATCGACCCGGACTTTGAGGGCTGCCCTGATATATTCGCCCAACTGCAGTATGCACCTGGGAATCATATTCCCCGGTGCACATTAATTAATATATAAGTGTAGACATAAATTCCTTTTACATTTTGTTATTATGAATCATAAATTTACTAAATTAATGCATACAATTGCTATAAACAAATAATTGTAGTTGTAAGGTATTTACATGATTCAAATCTATAATTAGATTATTAAGCACGACGCCTACTCTTTTGCGTTTGCTTTCTATTGACAACTATTCTTGGATGCTCATTTGATAACTTTTCTAGCGTTTTTTTATTTGTTTCAGGTATCCACAATGTTGTAAAAATTCCAAGAAACATGAAGAATGCAAAAATTAAAATTAAACGATCCACAAACTCGTTCTTGCCGCCGATATCTTTGAGTTGAATGAATCCTACTTGTGCTATAATTGCGCCAAATTTTCCGGATGCAGCTGATATACCATACCCGGTGGATCGGTATCTCGTAGGAAAAACTTCACTTGGAACGACAAATGTCGTTGCATTAGGTCCAAAATTTTGAAATAGCTAATAAAAAGGTTGTTAAATGAGTTGAAAAAATTTGATATTAAATGATATTAAAAAAAAAAAAAAAAAAAGATTAATGTTAACCTGACATAATGAGAATATGGTAACGAATAGAGCCATTCTTTGTTTTATATATTGATAACTTAATCCCCAAACCACAAATAACACAGTGAGAACTATAAATCCCATTAGTTGAATCCTTTTACGGCCCCATCTATCTACTAGCAAAACGGTAAACCAATATCCTGGAATCGTGCCTAACATGGTGATGATAATGTTGCCAACAGACATGTTCCAAAGAATTGAATAGGTGTCTTCACCACCCCCAAATCCAATAGCCCGCAAGATGATCGCATTGTTCAATCCTATGCCTTTAATGGACACATTCATACATATTTAACTATTGAAATAAATATCGTAAATGGTCGTATACATGACCCGGATTTGTTAAAGCCTCTGATAACTCTAGGCATAATATAGCAAATGAACCTTGCATTTATAATAGGCAGTCTACATTTTTATAACATATATGGGATAGGGATTTCTTATGCGACCATTTACGGTAAATGCAGAGACACAATTCAATTTAAACTAGATTCACTTACCGTAAAAGGCTATATCTAATACGAGCCATGATAATGAAGTTCCTAATAGAACTTTTCCATTTTCCCATTTACTAAAGTATTCTTTAAAATCCTGAATATATACATAATTAACATTGTGTAATTAATGATGATAAACCTTTTTGTAAGATAAGAAATATCCTTACCTTCCACGTAGAAACAGGTGCTTCTATGGCGCAAACAGGTTTACCTTGTTTTGTCCAAGAATCATCAAGTTTTAATACGGTATTGACATCATGAGCTGCTTTCTCGACATCTCCCAATACGTCCATCGTAAAGCGTGGCGTTTCCGGAATTGTGATCCGGGAGTAGAGCCCCAAGATCGCTGGAATTGCACCGAATGCCAAAACTATTCTCCATACACGGTCAATATATATTTGCTCCTTATATATAAGGTCCTTGTATGCTGCCAAAGTAGTAACTGAAACTATAGCAGCAGCTAAAATTCCGAATCCTTGCATGGCAAAAACAGCAGATACCATTGCCTGAAAAAATAATTGTAAAAATTAAAATTTTTTCTTTAAAAAATTTGAACATTTGAAAAATTATCAAGCTTCACGTACACCTCTTCTGTTAACTGTTGCAAATTCACTCGCAATAACTTAAAATATTAAGAACAGATATTAATATCAAATATACAATGTACTTTGCACATAGTCCAGAAAAATATTTACTGGCAGACACAGGATAATCTCCACCAATTCCAATGCCTAATATGAATCGCCAAAATATAAGCGAGCACCAAGTCGTGATCGCAAATGAAGTTGAGGACATTGCAGAACCAATAGTTGCGATGATCATTATTGCAAGTTCCAAACCGTAAACCTATGTTATGATGATTCGTACTAATTAAATGAAAACATGAAATACGTAAAGATGTACATATATAAGACGCGTTTTTACTTTTTTACGTCCAAGGCGATCAGCTGACCATCCGAACGTCAATTGCCCTATTAAAGTCCCACACGCTGCCGACATTTTTAAACCCATCTCAATATTTGCTGAAAGCGTACCATTATGAAACAGGTCGACATAGCTTAACATTGCAGAAACTAAATTTATGACAAATAGATCATAGGCATCTGTAAAGAATCCAATACCAGCTATTATACATGTCCTTATGTGAAACCCTCCAAATTCAGCATTGTCCATTTGGAAAAGGCTTCTTGTGCGTATATTAAGTTCATAAGCGTCATCAGTTGAATCCGATGAAGTGAAAGAATTAAAATCTGTAGTCATTTCTAAAATTTTGATATGGCATAAGAATGATTCAAATGAAACGGAAGAAAATCTTCACAAATATTATTAAAAAAGGAAAGGAATAATTAGTTGTTACATAAGGGAATGAAAAAAAATTAACAGTAAATGCGGTATATGCAGGAAATCGTACCTAATATAAAGCTCATCTGGATCGAGCCAAATGACATTTTATTTTGGTTGCATATGCTCCGGGTTATAAAGAATTTGCAATTCATCAAATTGATAACGAAAAAACAGCCAATTATTAGGTTCAATGTTAACATACAATCTAAAGTTGTAATGAGTTATACGTGTCACAAGGCACAATGTTTCAGTTAATTTGTTACATTAGATATCCAAAAATAATTCTTTATTTTCCTAAAATTTATCGTACGTATACATAAGGAAATAATAATTGAAAGTTTAAACTTAAAATTTTCCAATTAATTCTTGCATTAAAAATAAACTGATATAAGCATTATTAAAACGCGCTTTTACTATCTTTATCAAAATTGTAACGATAGAATTTGATATTCTGTACCTACGGTGACTCCTGGTAATCCATCCCCTACCCAATACTTTTGAAATGTGTCACATAACAATATAATCAAATCAGATTAATCTAAACCTGAATTAGATGCGTAAGTGTCCAGATATGGGGTGAGCCACTAGAAACCTACGAAATTTTCAATTGAATTAAAAATCATTTGCCTTAATAGTTAATTTAAAGTTTATAAAATTATTAATATATAGTTAAAAATAAAAACCAGTATGCTTAAACCAGTATTAAATGACGGATAAGCCGTTATTCAATGATACCGATACGTATTCAATGATATATAGTTTAAATTCCATGGAATTCCATTATTACCTTATGCTTATCGTTAAAAGTTGAACCTAAAATCAAATATGCACAAGAACTAACGTCATCAGGGTGCAGTCCAAATTTTCCGAAGATTTTCCAGAATTATTTATCTAATTAGCATTAGAATTAGGTTGCTTTTATTAGATTTAGAAGTGTTGTTATGTTGTTATATGTAAAATTACATCTCCAACATCTTTTGTTAATACACCAAGATAGGATTAGACTGCCATTTTCCATATTTTTCGTGGTTTTCTTTTTTTTTTTAATTGTCCGAAATGATTTTCGTGATCTGCTAACGCTGGCCATTTCCGGAAAATTCGCAAGTTTACCGTATTTATCAGCAACGAGTATCCGTGATATTTCCTATGTTCGTTTTAGTACCTAGAGTAGGGAGGGTATACCGTATGAATAAGAATATGTAATAGTTATATCCTGGGCAGTTGAGTATAAGTGGAATTTTGCAGTAAGTATAATCGGCCGCGCAAGTAGCCTATTATACTTTACTGAAAAATGTTGCTTATATCCAATTACATAGCGATAGGGTATAACTGATTTATCTACGTAACATAACTTTCACGTTAGGGTAAATGGAACGCTAAAAAAAATTTTTGCATATTATTGGCCAAACTTCATGCCATGCCATTTGGCGTGGCATAAGATATACTCAATTTGGATTAATCAGTTTCGAAAATTTTCAACTTTTATCGGCATATTTTATTTCTACTTGGAATGTTTCGGAATCTCTTATATATAAATCAGCCTTTTCTATATACCGTATTTTCTCAACATGTATACCCCATGGGCTATACTCTGTAGCAATTTAGAGAGCCAAATTTTCATTTATACCCGGGTATATAAGTATGGGAGTATCATACTTATGTACCCGGGCATATAAGTATGGGAGTATCATACTTATGTACCCGGGCATATAAGTATGGGAGTATCATACTTATGTACCCGAGCATATAATAGTAAAACATATCAAAAACATAGAAGTACTCGTACAGGATACCCCTACACGCGTACCTCGGATACTAAATAGGGAAATACCCGGGTACACATGTTGGGAAAATACGTTAAATGACATGCCCTATTGGCTATTTGAATTTTGCATGCCACCACAGGTATGCCATGGTTGCATGCGTGCTATTCACCCTATTTCATGTACGCAAACCCTTTATTTTACGCATTGTTTTGACATTTAAGATTAAATAGGATAATACTCAATTATCTAAATTAAATAGTTATATGTGTCTAGTAGAAATAGTACAGTCAAACCTGTTTAAATAAATACTGTTTAAATGAATATCCTGCATAAATGAATACAAAATTTGAGAACCAAATTGGTTACTAAAGCTAATTGCATAAACTGCTTAACTGAATAATGCATAAAAAATTTTTCAATTTTATTAATAAAAATTTCATGAAAGTTGAATATTTTAAACATTATCTGCATATGTAATTGTTATGATTTGATTGGTTAAATTATAAAATATAAAAAATTTATTAATAGATCGGAAGAGCGTCGTGTAGGGAAAGATTGTAGATC